GTAATTAAGCGTATTCTTCCGTCGCGGCGGCGACGGCGGCACCGCCGATCGATCCCATTTGTTTTAATAGCATATTTGCGTCGAATCCTGATGAAGCGATCGGAATTCCGCACACGCCGTCGCTTAATTCGACTAGCTTACACACACACACACACACACACACACACACACACACAAATATATATATATATATATATATATATATATATATACACTATGCACATACACACATAATGTGAATCTGCGTTGTCGGTGTCGGAGCGTTGCCATCGACGGCGGTCGGGCAAAAATCGAGGGTTGTTCCGATAAATAAGAAATCTCGCGATCCCGCCGTGGCCGTGTTATCGGCCTCGGCCGATTTCAAATTAGCTAATTTACTCGCGGATGCGAAACTACGCTCCAGATGACGCTAACCGGACCGCACGCTTAATTCGCGAACGTCCGTGCCTCGCGTCCGCTATCAGCCAGCCGGCCGATAAAAATTAGTTCGTTCCACCCTTCTCCGGTCGAGTAGAAATTTATCCTCCCATGGATGTGATTAGACTGACCCCAATTAGCTATCAGATTTTTACAAGGTGTGATATTATGTGGGTTCTATGATTGACCCTTTCACTGCCATCATTTTCATTTTTTAGCTGATTTTTGTGACGCTTTGCATTCCTACGTTTTTTGCGGCGCTAATTACAAATCTCAAGTTTGATTTTATACATTCAAAATGAATCCAATATGGCCGTCACGTAGTAGTAAATTAATGCAAATCTCAATGAGAATAAGCATTAAGTTTATGTCTTTCGGGTTGCTGATTACGATATAAAAGATATAAAAAATAAAGTTGATATGTCTGGAAAAAGGAAATTTTATACAAATAGTAAAGAAATAATTTATTGATAAAAAATAATCTAACAAAAAAATACTGAAAAAATATATATTGTACTGCGACATATGGAGAAAGTCTAGTAAAATTTTACAAAATAAAAATGAAAAAAATGGGAAGTATACTTTTCACTAGCAGTGAAAGGGTTAATAAAGCCCTAGTTATTATAATAATGACCATCATTAACTTCTTCAGTGGTGATTTAAAGTAGTTGCGCGATTCTGCTTAGTGTTCTCTTTTGATGATCACATCTATATTCTTCTCTTTTTATTGCTATCTTCTTCAGAGAATTTTGAAAAATAAAATAAAAATGCTCTAAGTTAAAAACATACAATAGTATAAATGGGAGTTAAGAAAAATTTAATATTTTATCATGAAACTTTTCCGAGCAAATCAATTAATTGAAATCAATATGATCATAACCATAAGATATATTTTTAATTGGGCGGGATTATTTGCAAACATGCACATTATATTTTTACCTATTTCCATATACTATAAAATGCAGCATATTATTTGAAATTAAACACGGCATGAATATGGGCGTGGGTATATTTGCTCGTTCGCTCGCTCTTTCTCTCTCTCTCCCTCTATCTCATGATCTGACGGAATCCTACTTGTGAGGGCCATGAGGGGAAGTGAGGATTCGACTCTATTAGATAATCAAGCCTTGCTCAGAACTCACGGAATTTTAGTTCGACGTTTGCGCACAGTCAAACTGGACTCTGGTCGTTCCCAGGCCGCCAAACGCTGTTAGCGCAGCGCGAACACCCAATGGCTTAATTTATTCGCGCGGCCGTTTCCGCGGATCGGTAACCCAGTTTCGCGGGATCGTTATGCCCGAGAGCTACATCTTTCATTAAGCTACAACAGCAACTACGCTCTAATTGAACGGCTCGCATTCGATCGGTCGGTCGCTCGGGTCCCTTTGCGGCCCTCCCCCCCGGCCCCTGATTAATTCAACCGTTGCCCACGCGCATACGTACGCACGCGCCAGCAGACAAGTCACCAAACGCCCAGAACTTTCACGCAAAGTCTCCCCAAATCGTCGCGAAAACTTTATTAACAAGCCGCACGATTTAAGAAAGAACACGGAATAAATTTCTAGGTATAAGGGGGGGGGAGGGAGGGAGGGAGAGAGAGAGAGAGAGAGAGAGAGAGAGAGAGAGAGAGAGAGAGAGAGACAGAGAAAAAAGAGGTAGAAAGAGAATTAATAGAGAGAGAGATAATTGTCAGCTCTGTTAATTATTCGCAAATGATAGTCCAAAATTAATAGACATTCATACAGCTCTCGGAGTTATCATAAATAATATCATCGTGGCGTGTACATTTTCCTTTCTTTACTCCTTCTAAGAATCCGACAGCCACATAAATTCCGTAATTCTGTAAGATTCTTTATTGGTCCTTCAAATTTAACGAAATTTGTAGAATTAATGAAGAACCAAAAATTTCGACTCGGCGCATTTTTCGAGAAATATCTCAAATAACAAAAAAAGGAGCGATCAGCCGCACTCGAGGCATTCTTTCCGGAAATTTCTGAATCATTGAAAGTTGCGAATCATCTCGTGTTAATGACAATATATCTGCAGATACCTTATCATCGATAGATCGATAGTCACTAAAAATTTTCGACTAGCCACATTCGCTTCTAGCTCTACGCGTTTCTCACGTTTAAGTTATGCACGATTTAAGAAAGAACACGGGATAAATTTCTGGGTACAAGGGAGAGAGAGAGAGAAAAACAGAGAAAAAAAATGTAGAAAGAGAATTAGAGAGAAATAATTGTCAGCTCTGTTAATTATCCGCAAGCAATAGTCCAAAATTAGTAGACATTCACACAGCTCTCGGAGTTACCATAAATAATATCATCGTGGCGTGTACATTTTCCTTCCTTTTCTCCTTCTAAGAATCCGACAGCCACATAAATTCCGTAATAATCTCCCGAAGCTGCGCCGTATCTTCGTGGATTACGCCGCGTAATTCCGCGGCTGTGGATCGGTTGCGATAAAGTCGCGGACGCCGTAAATCACTAATTTTATTTCGAAACATTAAACGAAACATCCCGCACGCGCGCGCGCGTACAGCGCGGACACACGGCGGGGAAATGTCGCGTTTCGGCGTTCGCGTCACACGCAACGCGCGTAACGCACGACACGGAAATTGTTTCCGGAATTATTCGCCGAGAGTCGAATGCGCCTCGCCGGCGATTATTTTGATTACCAGTCGCCGCGATTGTCGGATACCAGCCGCGTACGCCGTACACTCCCGACTGAGAGGGGGAACGGGGTGGAAGGCAAAAATGTATGGGGGCTGCGGAATCCAAATAGGCTCGTTTAAATTCGAAATTTCTAGTGTCGTCCTTTCCCTTGTCGTCCCTCTCCCACGTTCGCTCTTCCTCTCTCTCTTTCTCTCGCGGTGTGCGGGTGTTGCCTTCGCAATTTCGTAAACGATGCATATGTATAAGCCGCGAAACGGCAGATTTAAATACTGGAAATATTTTTCCGGCCGGCATTATAAAGCTGCCTGAGAGGCGAAAACCTAAATCATCGTGACAAGCCCGCGACCGCGTCTTTAATGAAGTCGCGTTATTATCGCGCTCGAGTGTCTCGCGCGCGTACGACGCGACTGTCGGCGACGTGAATAGTCTCGCTTCGAGGGATAACGGTGAAGAAAGGTATAAGGAGATTGGAATAAACACTGTACGCAGTTCTGTGGATGCCTTGTCATCTATTAGATCGATAGTCACTCCAAATTTTCGACTAGTCACATACGTTTTGGGATGGAGTGTGCCCTTTGCTGATAGATCGACGTTACCTCTCAAGATTTGACGTCGCGTTATCTCTCCAGAAAACGCATCCCCTGTTTTTTTTTTATTGACTAACGTGAGAAACGCGTAGAGATAGAAGCAAATGTGGCTGGTCGAAAATTTTTAGTGACTATCGATCTATCGATGATAAGGTATCTGCAGATATATTGTCATTAGCACGAGATGATTCGCAACTTTCAATGATTCAGAAATTTTCGGAAACAATGCCTCGAGTGCGGCCGATCGCTTATTTTTTCGTTATTCGAGATATTTCTCGAGAAATGCGCCGAGTCGAAATTTTTGGTTCTTCATTAATTCTACAAATTTCGTTAAATTTGAAGGACCAGTAAAGAATCTTGATATAAATCTATTCAAGTCCTACCTTGATGCTACAAATAGTTGCTTATTACTATGCTTCATGTTGAAGTTCAGAAAAGCATTCAATCAAGAATTATTTAATATTTCATTATTACATATTCTATTTGCGCTTATTATTATCAATATCTATATAATCAAATAATATATATAATTAAATATTCTAATTAAATATATATTTCTAGTTACATTTATTATTAATTATAAAATCATTTATAATTATAAAGTCAGCAATTATATAAATTATTAAATTATAATTATATAATTATAATTACAATTATATAATTTATTTAGAAAGCTGCAGACAGAATATGTAAAATGAGAAAATATTAAATAAAGATTAAGGTGTGATTGCATAAAGTAATGTATTTTTATTCTCGTAATCTTTTGTTCTCTTTCTTTTGAAAGTCTCAATAGGTTTTGAAACTCTTAAAAGAGCTGATAAACAAGAAGCTATAAAGGCAAAGATAACAATTCTGTGTCCAATAATGCTGTGTTTATCGATAGAGGATTAAATTTGAATTTCGTTGAATAATAAGGCTATACAGAAATGAAGAAAAGCATCGTCAGATGTAAACAAGATCGTGCTCGCAGCTTAAGGAGCATTGTTGAACGTAAAAATCAGCATTTGCGGGATTTATATTACATTCTAAGACCGGTATTCATAGTTAGAATTATTTTAAAAATATCTGAGAACACAGTTAATTGCAGTTTCATCCTCGATGGATCGTTATTCAATTTTTTAGATCTATTTTTGGTATGAAATAGTATACTGATACACAAGTTGGCGAATAATTAGAGATTGATTAAGCCGTAACTACATTTCAATTGCTGATGGACTATCAATGCCGCCCTAAATTTCGACTCGGGTATCTCTCATTTCCCGATAAATTCATCAAACACCCGTCAAAAACGGAAACCTGCACAATAAATGATTTGACACACCTTGGAAATGTATGATGTATCGCTGCCCGCGTCCTTCATTCCTGGTTTCCCGATTCAGCGTCGTGACTGCTTCGTCGTAGTGCGCCGGCACTAACACTGACACTCGCGTATGTGAGATTTGACTGCGAATACACGTGTTCAATCACGCGATGCCGATGATGAGAGCCTGATTAAGTATTCCGCGAGTCAACAAAATGTTTTGATTACCCGAGGGAAACGAAAACGCGGATGCCCGCGAGATGCGCATCGCTCGCTGGCTCGAAATATACTGGAAACATCCAGCGAAGGTACGCGACGCGCAAAGACCGGTTTGATCCGCCTTGAAGGTCCACGATGTTTTGAAAGTGACAATTGTTATTATCACTGGATCGTTCAGTGATGACGTGACGATTAACGATTCACGCGGGATGACGTAGGCTGTTTTTGCCCTTTATTTTGTGTATTGTTACGCGAAGCGTATTTTTCCGAGTGTGTGCCGAGTGTTACATTACATTTATAAAATATTCCGTACGCCAGCTCTTAAAATATTCAACTGGACTCTCGGCGTTATCGCATTAGTTAAAACGTGTTTTTCTCATGAAATCCATATCTATGCAAAAGCATGTTTATGCCATAAGCTAGTGACATGGCGGTGTACAATCAGGAATGTGAATGCTGCATCAGGAAGTCAAGACGAAGGATACCGAGAGATCCTGATCGCGATACATCATATATCATCAGATGAATAAATCTGCATTTAATACACAAACTTCCAACGTCAATGAAAAGAATAAAAAATAAAAGAGTTTATGAAGAAGGAAAATTTGTTGCCTTTCTTTATCCGTTATTTAAACTTGTCTATTAATCTTTATTGAATTATTCAAGATTTGCTTATCGTGCATATTCCATCTGCAGTTGAGTAAATTGCACGATTGATAAACTGCTTATTGAAATCAAGAGAAAAGATACCGATGGAATATTCAGATAATCGAATATTAAACAATTCCGAAACGAGTCCTTTTTTAAGAGCGGTTCAACATGGATAAAAATAATTGCATTACATAAGCGTTTGTGTATTATCAGATTGGAGCAATAACTTGTACAGGGTGTTCCCGAGTTCGAGAAAATTTATAGGGTTAACACCGAAAGAAAATTTCGACGCGAGTTCATCACTCTGCGAATTCGCGGAGGAAAATCGTAATTTTCCTCTGACGGGGGGCGTGCCCCCTCGGTCAGAACGTCGGTTCGTTACGTTCCCGTTCTTCCGTGGAACTCGTCGATCGTCGTGTTCGATTTATTGGCCCGAATAACGACGCTGACCCGAAGATCGTCGTTAGCGGCCACCTTAAACAATTCACGGAAGACAAGACGCGGGCAATTACGGGAATCGAGCGCGAGCGCGGCGATGGCGATGGTGAAGCGGTGGCGGCGGCTGTGGTGTCCCGACTACTCGTTCACGCTAATTTTCGAGTTTGCGTGTCATACCGGCGAGGGGAGGCAGCGAGCTACCGCTGCAATTGTTTTAATTAAAGCAATGCTGTATCCGTCGTAAATTAATACAATGCACTAATTGCCCTTGCTGATACGATCCTGCAGATACACAATTGGATACGCAAACTCGCGAAACAATGCCTTTCATCTCGATATTTCCCCCTAATTCTCGTCGTCGTGCGAAACTTGGCGTCTACGAACTCTAATTTCATCCGACTCCATCGCTCTCGCGCAAAAATGAAACTGCGCGCGCGACCGCGGGAGTCACTGAATTCGGATCCGGAGAGTCAACTGGAGCGGCGGCAACGGCTCCCGCTTTTCATTACCGTAGATTATGCCGTTGATAGCGCGACGCGACAACGTTTACGCGCGCGCTAATCGGCGGAATAACCTTAACGCGTAGAATAATTAGATTACCGGTATTTTGTAATCGTACATATTCGTTTCCGGATCGCACATTCACGTGTTCGGGTGTCATAATGACAGATTACAGTGTGCTCTCCTCTTTCTTTAAATAATCAATAAATAATAAAACCCCAGCGTGCGCGCGAAAGAGAGAAATGAATAAAATAAAATCCTAAAGACTATAAAATCCTTCACGATTAACCAGAGAATTAATCTAACAATAATTAAAATTAACTTCGTTAAGTAGCGTTTTAAAGACGGGTGGAATGCAACGTGCACAGGCGGAATAACGCATGATGCCGTGCGTCCTATCTTTTCTCGTCAAAAGAATGAATATCAGGCCAAAAAAGACAAGTAGCCGATCGCCCGAAGAGTCTTATTTTTCACACGCTCGTCGCATCTTATGCAACTTCATTTCGCACTGTCGGAGTTATACGGTATCGCTCTCTCTCTCTCGATATTCGCCGGCTATATTTTTCCCGGCGCGTTTCGTTCTCTCTCTCTCTCTTTCTCATTTTCTCCCTTCCTCTTCCTCGCTTGAACCATCGCGGTTCGATCGCCCGTAAACGCTCACATAACGGCAACTCACGAGACTGCGTCTGCTCGCCGTCCGCTGTACGTCCCGAACGTACGAGTGTGCACCGCCGATATCGGCGGCTATCGTTATCATAACCGATCCGTAGCGAATACACGCGCGATACCTCTCTTTTCGCGGGCGTAACTCGGTAACAGCCGCGTCCCTCGAACGTTTTCCCTTAATCAAGCGCGGTCATCGCGATTCAGCGTGCGCGCGTGCACACACACACACACACACACGTGCATACACACGCGTGTACGAATGTGCACACAAATGCATGCACACCACGTTATTTTACCGCGACGTTTACCACTTTTACGCTTATACCCGGTTATCGTGCGGGGATGAGTGGAGACAGAGGGAAACGGAGGTAGCAGGAACAGGATGCGGAGGAACGTCAGGCGGGCGGAGAGGTGGGACAGGGGGAGTGAGGGAGGGGGTTAGCGAGGGAGGGATAAATCCGTGTTGCGACGTGCGCGTCGTGGGCGTTTACACGCGTGGACGAGCGAAGCGTGGCGGAGCGGAGCGCCATAGCCACCCCCGCCTCGGCTTAGTGCGTGTAGCGCGACCATAAACAACCGTGCAACTTTCACGAGGACTTTACCGTGGCCATTACAGCGACCCATTTCCCGGTAGCGGTTCATGAGCGGACGTGCGTCTCCACCACCCGCGCACGTTCCTCGCCGGCGAGCGGGTTCGCGAGCTCGCGACCTAAGCTTCGTAAGATAATTGTTCATCAGGGGTTGAGTGTCAGCCGCGCGCGCGCGCGCGCGTTAATGCTGGCGGCACGCGAAATGGCGCGTCGTTATAGCCGCGAGACTATCGCGCCAGGAGATCAACCGAGCGGGTGCGAGCGAGCGAGAGATGCATACCGTTCCGTAATCTGGTCGCGCGATAACGGACCCGGTCATCGTCCAATTCATCGCGTATATGAATTCCTCTTGATCCTAAGAGAACACGTCCGAGATATGTAGTCCTGCGGCCGAGTACAATGGAAACGTTCTCGAGCAATACCGGGCATTTTTGACGAACGACACACTCGCACGGACATCTCGTCAGGTCGCTCGCACATCACTCTGCGAATCTTTGTTTATCGTCGAACTCAATTGATTAATTGTTACTGACGTAGATTAATTGATTGCATTGATTAATTAATCGCATCGTTACAACGTAGTGACAACGGCGGTATAAAAAATAATTAAATGTAAATAATACTTTGTACGAAGCTGTTTAAGCGCGGTAAAAGGTACAAATATTTCAAATTATGTCCCTTTTATATATACATAGTGTCCATAAATTAATTCAATCATCAGTTAATCTCTTGTACACTAATCGACAGAATAATCAGGTAATTAGGTTACCATTTTGGAACCATATAAATTTATTTCTGATCATTAATATGTAAAGTTTACATAGTGATAGGTGATTCTGTACCTGCATAATAATATACGGGAAATTCTAATAATCAACAATGAAGCGAAAGATTAGTTTTGACAACTTAAAATGAATTAAATGTATTTGATTTCAATTTGATATAATGAACTAATCGTTTCAGCAAAATTTAATTTCTTCAAAAACATATCTGTATAAAACAAGTTTACATTTTAGTTAAATGAAGCGATGACAAAGCTCATCCAACACATTATTGATCGTATTATCGTATTTTAAGTTTTACTTAAAATTTCAGAAGCAAAATTGATCGTATTATGCGGTTAGATGAAACCTTCAGCAGTTAAAAAACATCTACATCATACATACAACTCTCTACGTTTTAATTACATTGACACATTTAACTATTTCGTTAATTTTTTATCATTATATGTGTGTGTGTTATGAAATTTCGATGCCTCAATTTTTTAGTCAGATTCTGGTAATATGATTTAATTCACTTATTGACTTAACTCGATTTCACTTTATGCAACAAAATTTGTGTAACTCTGAATTGAATTGAGAATTGAATTTCTTCTATCTGTTTTTCTTCAGTGTAATTACTTTGTGTGTCAAGGCTATTCTGCCGGTTAGCGTACAATCAATGGAAATCATTTCAGTCAACGTGGTCAATCCTCACATACAATGCTGAGTTTGTGAAACCTAAACAAATATTCCGTTCCTCACCAATTTTCATAAAGAGTCTGAAAAAATTTCAAAACAGCGCGCCACTATGTTTGCAGATTTTACTTTTTTATTGCTCCACTATAGCTGAGACTTTTCTATGTGTCTGAAAACAAAATGTGTTCAAACATATCGATTTCCAACAAAGTTGTGATGGTTCAAAGGTACTGTCAGACCCATATTGTACTTTGTAAGTAGTAAGTCCAAAATATCATGACTATATGTGAAGTGTTTGAAAAAACAAGAAGCATAACGTTGACCCGTGATTACTCTCTCTATACCGACTCTTCCCAGCACACCTACGCCTCATCATTGTTCCACATTGGACTACTTAGTAACGAAGGTTAGGACACCTCTGCTCTTGCTTCGGTATCGATACTTCGTCTCCGACATGAGCTATCGGATACAGTGCTTCGCTGGCGCGTGCAAGTATATCGAGGTAACATCCCTAACGCCTGCGGCACTGCGCGAATCGACTTTCATGAATCATCGGCGTATCGCCGAACCGTGTCGATCTCGTGCATCAGTTATGCACTTAAGGGGGATCCCCGTGGTGCGGCGAACAGATGTGCGGCGATCTCGAGGCGACTCGTGCCAGCGTCCGACATTTATGCGCCGCGTGATTTCGCCTTCACTCCCCTAATTTCGATAGCACGGCGACGGGAGCGGGAAAGGGGTGTGAGAAGGTGCGAAACGATGTCTCTCTCTCTCTCTCTCTCTCTGTGTGGTCACGGTGAAAATTTCGATTCGACCGGGTGTAATAAATTCGGCAAAATAATAACATCGAATCGACGAGATCGCCGATAAGGCCAATAATAACGTCGATGATAAGAGCGGTGATAAATATTCGGTGGCTTTTATCGTGGATGGGCGCCCGCGCGCCACCCTCCCCCCCCCACCCGTATAACAAGTTCGCAACCGGGGGAGATGCACGTATATAACGTTAACTTTTATAGATTGTTAAAACGCGTTACACGTCGGTGCGACGTGGGACGCCAGTGTTTTAATCGCTTGATTGAACGTAACTACGTCGGCGCTTGTAAAATAATGCCACCGCGCCGCGACGTTTAATGACGCCGAGGACGGTACCAGCGACGCTTCGCCGCGTTAGAACCCACTAGGCCCTGTGTTAAAGACACGATATTGAAATATCCAGAGCCGCGCAGGGTGTTCCAGATTCGAAACGGCGGACACGATACCGCGGAAAGCCAGATCGTTCAATTTTTAATAACCACGGCTCTCTCCGCACAGCTTTTTTTTCTGCTGCAAGACGCGGAGAGAATCTCGGAGATTCTCGACGAGAATTAAACTCGAAAAAGCGCGAATGCGCGACGCGATAACTTATTCCTCATTTAATTTCGAGTAGACTTCACTTCTCGCTCGGAACTTCCGTGGCTTTACAAAGATATTTAATGTTGAGTATCAAAAAGTTGCGAGGGAGCGCGCAGATGGTGTCGAATCCAAATTTTCTTGGCGGAGAGAAGTCTGCGCCAACTTGGTCAAAGAATCCGCGCGGATGAAAGGACGTGCGGGCGAACTTGGGACACCTTATACACGGGAGGAGCCAGATAGCAGTCGCGCGTCCGGATACTTAGCAGTGGCGATGGCGGTTATACGCCGTCCTCGTGTATAAAGCACGAGCGAAAATAATGCGCGTGCGCGACGCCGGCGAGAGGACGGCCGTAGAGGAGAGACGCGGCCGGAATAATATAATATAATGTAGTTCGCGGAATTATACTTCATGAAAGTAAAAGTTGCATCGTTAACTTAATTGCGGCACTTCGGCCGCTCGTGCAGCACCTTTACGGCCGGCAATTAAAATCAAACGACGGCGAAGCGTAGACCACCGACGATCAGAGCGTCGGCGATGAGAGAGCGTCGGTCGCGCCGATATCACGACTAAACCATCACCCGCTTGCAGTCATTAGTCGAGTGTGTACAATAATAGCATAACAAACAACGAAACGACATACAGGAGTTGTTAAACTGTCGGACCGGTAGCGACCAGTCGAATCTGTAGCTCGGATTTAATCGCTTTAGCGTTCATTTCGCGCAGACTCTTTAACGTAAAGACGAGTCGTTCGTTTGTTTCGCATTTTATTTCCGCTACGAGCATAACGAGGGGCACAGAGAAACGTCAAAAGCAATTTCACACGATGTGCGAGAGCGCGGGAGTAGGTCTCACTCATCATTGTTAACACATTGCGTAACGGCTCACATGAGATATCTCGTGTTTAGCAAATCGTAACGCCGAGGTCAGGTCACGAGATACTTTGCACACTGCTAATAGCACATTAATAGCGAATAAACGTCGGAAAACTTGCGATTTCTTTTTTCTATATCCATGCAATCAAATTTTGCGTTATTGTATATGGAGACAATATTATATTTTCCTTCCTTATCATTTAAAAACCTTTAAGTATTATTATGTTTTTAACAATGCAAAAATATTACATTTATTTTTTACGTATTTTTACATTAAAAGTTCTTTTAAATGAAAAATATACACATGTTTTACTAAAATAAAGTTGCTTTTCATTAAAGTAATTGTTTATTCCACTTAAATAAAACAGATTTAAATTGAAATAAATATGTTATAAGTATTCACACCGATAAATATTTTTTATTTTTCCTTTCAATATAGTCAAATTTTAATAGTACATTTCGGTTTTTAAAATATAAATGGCACATATGAAATGAGGGGAGAATCGGGTTGGCATGAAGTGGCCTATGAGGCAAGTCTCCCAAGTAAACTCCGCGAACTCCGCGTGTTAAGCGGTAAATAAACTGATCGAACGCGGTCAAGAATTTCAGCATGATAACTTCATTAGTTTCCGATAATTCTCGAGCGCAAATTGATCACATTGTTTGACACCTTTGCATCGAAAAAGTGCACCGCACTTACTTAAGTATGC